TTTTTATTCTTTCGTTAAGCAATAGAACTTTGCAGAAAAGTTCTGTATTGAAAGTACTGAGCGTCTAAATCTCAGTCTGACGATGTTCTTAACGGCTTTAGAAGTGTTTTCAAAAGCTTTTAAACTGTCACATTACCTCACGTTGAGATATCATTATTGTATGATTCAGCTGCACTGACTTTGCTATTGCCGAATGAAATATAATATTCTTAATATATTTTTTCAAACTTTATAAGTTCTTCGTAACCCTTATTCTGTTTGCAAAGAGTTGCTATTCAGCAAAGCATAAAATTAAAAAAAAATTTTCGAATTTAATTCCTTAATTTTCTAAGATATTGAAAATTAATAAACTCACTTTTTGGATGATTTAGACTGTTTTCTTGTTTTTAATAATATATATATTTAATTTCCTCATAAATTAAAATATGATCAGCGGTATTATTTCTATTATTAAATAATGATAATAAATAAATGTGCCGAATTTTGAGTACATGTTGTCCTCCACTAGTAACAAGTGCATGTTGAAGGCGGAATTGACCAAATTCAAATTGCATTTTTCATGTCTCGAAAGCGCGACTTAGGATATATATTAGATTTACATATAGCATTGTTCTAACATAGGTATTTTGACACAAAATCGGGCTTTTTCTGAAATAACGTACCAATTTTTTTCCATATTTCAATTCTACTCAAATTATGCCTACATATTAAATTTTGTAAAATTTAGACGAAATTTGGGGAGAAATTCAAAATTTATCATGGCGCAATTTTTTGAGTTTGCGCCAAGAATAATTCACTTGGCGAACTTCTTAATATGTGGCAACCAATTTTTCTTCCCCTTCCATTATGCCGAAGCGGAAAAAAAGGTGCCTCGTTCCTACCTTTATACATTGTGCATGAGAAGGAAAGAAGTCCCATCGTTTCTACCATGGAGGTAGGAAACTACTACTACTTACTTCCTACCTCGATGGTTTCTACTGCCAAATAATTTTAGCAAAAGTAAACCACATTTGTTGTTTTATCGCTTTCAACAAATATGCCAAACTTCAAAACGCGCTAATATATAAATCCACGTATATCTTCGGGAATTTTGAATAAAAAACTGTAATTTTTTTCAGGTATGCTTAAAAATACTTCTACTTTAAGATGATGGTAAAAATTTTATAGATTATAGTTCACAAATATTTTTGAAAATTTTATAAAAATTATTTAAAAATACAAATTTAAAAAATCATAAGAAATGGGTGAATTTTATTTGGAATGAACCTAAATTTCGAAATGTCAAAAGAAGAATCAAATAAGTTTAATAAAAAAGAGAAATCAATAAATATATGCCTGCCAAGCTCAATTAACATTGAGGAGCTAACATTTTGAGAGCTAGTTTTTTTTAAAAAACTGCTCGTGCGATTTTTACAAAACTTGGTAGGTTGGCGTAATTTGAGTCGTAGAACTCAAATATGGAAAAAAAATTCGTATGTTATTTCAGAAAAAGTCCGGTTTTGTGTCATAATACCTATATTTGAAAAACGCTATATATAAATCTAATACATATCGGGCCCACCAGCGGCCGAGCGGTAAAGTCGCTGAACACTGGTAGTTCGGTCCGAGGTTCGAATCCCGCGAACGGGCTGGCTGCATGGCGTTTTCGTGGTTTTCCCCATGTGTAACGTGTATACGAGCCAGTTTCCCTTAGAAAGTCCTCCACGAAGGCATCCCTCCTCTTAGGCAGATAGCCCTCGAGGCTTTGCCATACTCACACACACACACACACACTAATACATATCGTAAATCGTGCTTTCGAGACATGAAAAACGCAAGTGTCTTTTTTTTCGTAGTGTACGTATGTACGTACGTATGTACGTACGTGTATATATGTACGCACACGTATACATAAATGCATGCTTGCACACATTTCTGAATTCTGCCTCGATTACAGGAAAAGTACAATTTCTTTTTCTTTTTTAATTTTCCAAACGTAGTGTTTGAAATGATAATACAAGTTTAATATTCCTCAGTAATGTTTTCGTAATTCTACTTAAAAGGTTTTTGTTTAGTCTTGAATTTTTCTGGCATATTCTTATTTAACAAGCTAACTAATAATCGTTTTTAATAATTTAATAGTTTGACTTTTGCATAGTCGGCTAAATCAAAATATATTCTTTCAAATGAAGATTGCTTTTAAATTTCTTAACTTATTTTACCCCCCCCCAAATTAGGCTTTTTTGTTAATATTAATTATAATGACAAATTTTTAACTCGAAATGGTACTTTCGTTTTAAACGAAAACCATTGGCGAATATCATTTAAGTTTTATTTTGGACGGAAAATATTTAGCCGTTGCCCTTAGGATGGCGTTATCATTTGATCCTTACTTTTTCTTCCACGTGAAGGATTCGAGATGACGGTGAGATGGTCCTCGATGTTTTTTATTTCGCTATTTTGTACTTTCCTTGATGCGTTTTATAATCTGCGTCTGCCTGCCAATTCGAAAATCAATGAAATTGTACATGTAGTCTCTTTGGCAGTGATATCTGTCTTGTAACCCATGTAATATTCGAAAAAAAAAAAAAAAAAAAGGTCCATTTTTAATGTTTTTTTTTATTTCGTTCATATGACAACTACGATCGACGGCCACCACAAGAAATGTTTCTTTTATTTTGCAATAAATGCCCCCAAATAGCCATTGGGGTTAGAAATATCCATATCCCCAAATATCCATTATTCTTCCAGCACTAGTTTTATTTCTTGTGAACGTGTTTTCATCGATTTCCACAATGCAATTGACGCTTCAAGTCATTTTCTGCTTCCACTATTTCAAGAACCGTAAATAATTATTTCAGTCAACAACCGTTTCATCACCATTCTTAATAGCTTCTGGCAAAAATTCACCGACGCTCGTTTTTCACCCAGCAATAAATGAATCGTAAAGCTGTTGCATGCTCAGCTTCGACTCAAATCCTTCGAATGTTTTAAGCATTTATGCCGTGAATTTTGACTTGTATTCTAGCACTTCTCAACACGTGCGCATATTGCACTCCCAGTAAGTGCGTCCTTGCAATACACTGCTTAAAACAATAAGGGGAGATTGTGAGTCCGGTGTGAAATAACACTATATTCGGCAACAGTTTTAACAAAAATTTGATGGAAGAAGTTGAAACTTCTTCTATCTAGTGAACAAAAAATTGTTTTTCAAATTTTGTTTGTGACTTTTGTTTTGTTTGTTGACTTTTGTTTTTGTTTGTTTGTGAAAAACTGTACGTTTTAGATAAGGTGTGAAAGCGACTTGCAGCATTCTTTCTGCGGGAAGAGATTAAAAATAAATTACACACCTTGAATGTTTTGTAACAATGAATACAATACCTCAACAAGATGACTTGGCTGAATCGGTAGCCTGGAGGGCCATCGATTATTTAGAGGCGGATCAAATGCAATCCTTTGCAGCAGAAGCGTTAGGAGTTTCTTTAAGTGTCATTTCCATAATACGGAATCGGAAATGTTTGCCGCAGATCGGGAGAAAGTCGTACGCCTGCAACAACACAAAATGAGGATAAAGACTTAACCGCCAGAAGAACTCGCACTATAAACGCCACTTTCTTGCAACAACACTTTCAGAGGGCTACTGGTACCAGAATTTCGACTCAAATTGTTCGAAACCGACTCCATCTCGCAGACCTATGGTTTGTGTTTCGTTGACACAAGACCACCGTGCTGCCCACAGAAGGCAGACACAGAAGCATCCCAGATGGGAACGAGATGAATGGAGCAACGTGCTGTTCACAGACGAGCCCCGCTTTAGTGTACAAGCTGACAATAGGGAGAAACTGGTACACGAAACACCCCTGGATTTGGCCATGAAATTGTCCGATTTGGCGAAGGCGGAGTGATGGTCTGGGATGGTATTTCTATCGATATCCGCTTTGACCTGCATATAATCAGGAATGGAGCACTGATGTCTCAGAGATATAGGGATGAGATTCTCAAACCTAATGCGGTCCTTTACACTTCAGGAATCAGGGATGAATTCATTCTCATGGGTGATAACCCCACCTCGTGCTTAGCTTGTGGACAATTTCCTTTTCGACGAAAGAATCCTTCGAACGGATTCGCCAGTATACTTCCCAGATATGAATCCAATAGAATAGGTTTGGGACATTTTAAGAAGAAGGGTTGCTAGTCGCTTACCCCCCCCCAGAAACAATTCAGCGGTTGATAAGCTTTCTTCTACCCAAATGGAAGAAAGTACCCGAGTGATTACATAACTATACCCTTTTATTACGTGCGACATTGCTTTCGATCAAGGGAAACCATACCTCTTATTGAAACTCATTTCTATGCGAGAGATCACTTTTTCTTTGTATAATATGCAGAAATGTTGCATTTTTTGTTTACAGATAGATATCATCAAAAATGATTTAATTGTTCCTCATTAGTTGCTTCTTTCCCTTTTCTCATATCTTACAACACCTATACATCATATATCAGTCACTAAAACAATACCTCATCCGCAGCTTTAATCCAAAATCATAATATGCCCTAAGTGTTTTGGGCAGTGTGTAACTCCAACGGCTGCTAAAGTTTGCAATATTATAAAGTCTGCAACTGTTGATTGTTCTGTATAATCGTTATGGAATGTTATATTGATTTATTCTGACATTTATCTGATATGATATTCTTCACGAAACTCTTCACGAAAATAAATTATAATTCATAAAATTTACCAGAGGAATAATGCAGTATTATGAAATTTCTTAGGTACAGTCCTTATCTATGTATCCATATATTACCAAATATTAATGCATTATTTTCTGCGCAAGTATGAATTTAATTCTTACAATAAATTTGAATAAAAAAAGGTAAAAATTATGCTAACAAAAATTGAGATTGCAGTAGAATTACTAAGATATATATATATACTATGAGAGTTATTCGTCATATTTAATATTTGATTTTGCTAATTACCAGTCATGGAATAAATAATAAATATGTCTCCCATTTTCTAGCTCCACGATGCATTTCAACATCAACATCGCATTCTTCACGTTATATGCATTCTTATTATCACATTCTGTGGTGGGATTCACAAGCAAGACTACTGCAAAGTATGAAACAACAACTGAGGAGTCGCTCAGGCCCGATCTGCAGGTCTATGAAAAGTTCCTCAAGAATTTTACAAATACTGCTGTGAAACGTGCCTTGCCGGCCATGGTACGATTGATGGGAAATGTGAACATATCATCGAGTTGTATGTCAAGTTTGCTCAAGTATGTCATATCTCTGAAGCAGATCAAGGTCTGGGCAATGCGAAGTAAGCACAATTTGTTTCTTCTACAAATATTATCCTATTTTAATTTATGCTCTGCAGTATATTAATTATTAGCCCAAAAAGGAATTAGTCTCAAATGGGATATTAGTCTCGAAGCGAAATTTTTCACTGAATCATTTTTCAATCTGTTGCCACCAACTATTATCGCCCTGTATTATATTTAAGGAAATTAAATAATGGAGAATCTGCATGAATTCAATGCATGTTTATCGCATTGTGAAAAAGCAACGGTACCTATAGCCATCAAATTTTGGATAACGTAGTCTTCCACCCGAACTTCGACGCCTGGAATTCCGAATTTTGAATTTAGAATTTGGTTTACTGTCTATTTCATATGTTGTAAAACTTTAAGAAATTTTTGATTGACAAACTCAACGATTTCAAAACGAGCAGTGGCAACACTGTCCGAGGAAAAACATTTTTATTTCCAGTGCACAGGACTGTCTAGTGAAAAATTTAAAGATATGCTGTTTATAAATATTTTGCGATTCTGCTGTTGAATCGAATTTTATGTGACATAAGCGTCAAGAACGTGATATTTAATAAATAATGTAAAGACACAAAATATGAATAATAAAAAGACAATAAAAGAGATTGTAAAGCCATCGTAGTAAGTAAACTGAACTGAGAAGAACTGAAATTAAACTTTAAAAAATCTGATGTGTACACCACATGACTTCCTTGTACGGAATATTAAATTATACGTATATTTTTTCTTGAATTTCATTTAACTTATTAGATTGGATTAAACCTACTTTCGCCGACAGCGCACAAACCACAATAGAATAAATGCATTTTTTAAAATTCACTTTGTTTACCATAGCGACACTCTGGCGCTAGGTTTACTTAACAGTATTATATTTCGTTCATATTATAACTCAGAATGCACAAAATTTATATCATTTAAAGAATTATCTAATCGTTGCCACATGTTCTATTCAAATACTATAACAAAGCTAGAACGATGTATAAAAGAAATTAAGCAAACAAAACGAAAAAGAAACAGTTTTTCACAGACGATTGAGGATTTCTCATTCAATTAATTCAGTTTTCACTTCGCGACAAGGCAAAAATACATAAAAACTCAAAATATCTGCATTAAAAATTACGAAGTAAATCTTAAATACTTATTTCCTCGAAAAAATTCCAGAAAGGATTAAGCATGATTTAATTCGCAATAATAAATGAAGGCGTTATTTTTGTGTTGCGAAGCTTAGTGTCTCTAGATTGGCAACAAATCTACAATTCTGCTGTTTCAAATGTAAACAAATATGCCCGCCATGTTATTTAAAACTTAACCGCACTTAAACAGCTTTTAAATTGTTGATAATTGTACAAATATTGCTTCCAGAATTACGAAAGGCATAAAAACTTTAACCGGAAGATTAAAACAACAAAATTCAATCATTTTTAAAGCAAAAAATGTACAATATACAAATATATAAGAGTAAAGTAACTGAGATCACTGAGCCGGGTAACAGAGTGGATATATTTATAAATATATTTATATACGTTTGGGCGCGGCCGATTGAAACCAAAATACGAGGTGCACATCTACATGTTATAGTAGTCTTATATACAAAATTTCAACGTTCTGAGGCTACTCGTTTTTGAGTTATACGAGATACGTACGTACGTGCGTTACGTTCGTACAGACGCCACGAAAAATTCTCTTCAGAATTCATTTTAAAGCAGTTTTTTAGTTTTTTTGGAGGAAAAGAGTCCTTTATTCTGTCCTTACGTATAGATATTACGCAAAAACATCGTTAAATTGCATTCGAAAGCGGTCAAAGTGGATATTTTCGTTAAAATATGCTGCCTGAAGCTTTTCGTGATTACAATACTTCCTTTTTACTTCGTACAAGGAAGTAAAAACAGAAAAATGTATGCTAACATAACGCTACATTGGGTGTTCTGAACGTATACTTCTAGGCAGCTTTTAAATGTTTTGTAATTTTGCTGTTGAACTGTTTATGGCATAAGTGCAAAGAAAAGGATGCTTAATAATAAAGCTAAAAAGACAAAAAAATGGGTTAGCAGGAGTGGGAGCAACAGTAGACTACTACAAACCTTAACAAGCCCTTTTGTGCGATAGTTAAAATCTAAAACCTTTCAGATTTTTTTATTATTATAATGAACTTATCCTACAACAACATTAACTGCACAGGAATTACTCTTGGGTCTTGCTAACAGAAATTCAAACAGCACATCTATTCCAATTAAAACTAAGGCACTAGCTGTAAATCTTTAAAAATAGACATAAATATATATGAAATTTCATTTCTGCTGACAATAAATTTTGACCGGGTTTTATGGAATTTTTAAGTTTCGCAAGAAATTCGAGTGGATTTATGAAGCATTAAAGTAACGGAAGAAATTTTAAAGACTTTCATAAGGTATTAATGACCTGCAAGAAATTTTGTAGGATGTCACCCAAGATTAAAACTCCGCGAGGACTCTTAGGGGGTTGCTTAGTGTGTTAAAAGTTCTGCAAGAACTTTTAAAAATTTCCGTGAACTATTAATGTGCCACGAAAGGTTCTAAGAAGAACTAAAGTTACGCAAGAAATTTCAAAATATTTTACGGGTTAGTGAAGTACTAAGAGCAAATTCAATGTGCTCCGTGGAGTATTAAATTTTCGAGAGAAATTTAATGGGCCAATGGAGTATTAAAGTTGCATGAAATATTTCAAAAGGTATTGTGCAATATTAAAGTACAGGGAGAAATTTCAGGAGACTCTTCGAGGAGATCAAAGTGAATGAATTTTTTAAGCTTTTTAAAAAAAGATATAAATTCATTTATTTAAAATAAATAAAAAAGATATAAATTTATTTATTTATTTTTTAAGCTTTTTTAAAAAAAAGATATAAATTTATTTATTTAGTTATTAAACAGTTATTGAACAGAAATTTATTATGCTTATCTGAGTTTTTGAAATTTATGATTATGAGGAAAGTGATTTATAATGCGGATGGTAAAAGGTATTTAAATAAGTATTTTCCTATTGGAAGAAAACACACCAGTGTAAAAGTTAAAATTTGAAAAGTTTTATTTAAAACATACACCAAAATAAGGTTATCGTTTTGCCTAACTTTAAATGCATTTACCTGTTTTAGGAAATTAGATTAATTCCAATATATAACACAAAATGGTATTAAAAGTTCTTTCCTATATTAACTTCAGAAAATATTATTTTGCATATCACTTCATTATCTTTCACAATATTGGAAGAAATCATGTGGAGAATGAAATTGCAGCATAAAGAAAACGCTACTGAAACAATTCAGGAATTCATGATACAGCACTAGAAGTATTAGGAATGTTTGAAAATATTGTTACGAATTTTGTACTTAGATGGGTAATTTTAGTAGAATTATAAGTAAAATTGTTGTATTTTTCTGCGTAATGTAGCGCGAGACAAATTTTAAGAGAAAACTCTACCGGAAAAATACGAAAACAGGGGCAAGTGCATTTAAAATTGAGTAAATGAGCATCTCGGTAATTTGGCGAGATTTCGCCAAGCTGACGAAGGTTTTGGCAACTTATTATAATTTATTGTTTTGTCGCCAGATTTGGCGACCATTTGACGACATTTTGGTCTGGTCCCTGTATCATCGTAACAAGTATTGAAATTGAATAAATGTAATTGACCACTATGTTAGCTATATGTAATTCAACCCTCGTATTGCTTTCCAGTAATTTCGAGAAGCAGAAAGTGCTAGAAATATCTCGCGGCCAGTTGAAAACTATTAAAGGCCGAAGAAACAGCATCTGCTCTGAGTTGCTTAGTTGTTGCTGTTGCGAGATGTTTAGTTCCGCGTGATGTTGGTTCCACGAGATATCTGAGTTAACTTTCTCTTTAGATGCGCTTTATATTGCGTTGTGTTTAATGTTCTTAGTAGTTTGTAATGTAACTACTGATTATACTGTTTGATACTGTGGACACTTGTACAAATATTTATGCGGAAAATTCCAAAGTTCTGAGCGCCACCTGAGATAACCACTGACCTGATTTTGTTGTAAAAGTCTTACACTGTTAATAGTCATCCTGGCAGAAGGAATTTTTCTTTCGTATAAAAATATAAATATTACATGGGCATACAAGGCTTATGTATAAGCATAGATATGTTAATTACAGGCATTGTCCTGTACCAGTTACATGTGATAGTTAGATACAATCATGACAGTTATGTGTACATTTAAACATTATCTGAATTTCTATTTACAATACCTTGACTGAGATAATCAAAGTAAACTTGTAATTCATTTACGTATTGACTGGATTTTCAATGTCCTTTTTAACTGCTTTACAACATTTTTAACAAGTACATACAAAATGGATAGTAATAGGCTTACATTACAATAGTTTTTGCTGTTATGTTTCTGTTACTATTCTACGGGGTGAGCTAATTTTCTAATGTTGATTTTCAGTTGTTGTAGTACTATCTGGCTTAAACTGGATAGGGAGTTACGTAAGTGAATTTTCTGGTACTTTAACTGAATTGCTTGGAAAATTGCAACTGCTATTAAAGTTGTAGTACCTATCAAGGGAGGTATAGTACCTATCAAGTTGAAGTACCTATTCCAGACTTCTGAAATATTACTTTTGATAAAAACAAATTTTTATTAACCTTGTAAGAATTATGTTAATTTTAATAACAGTTAAATTTTCCTGTCAAATTCCTAACTTCAACTTACTACTTCCGGCCAGAACGCAGTTTTGGAATTTGCTGAATATTTAATGAGAAGGAGAGGTATTTAAACCACGAAGTTACTTACTGAGACAGAGAGAGGAGAAACAGAGTTTCTGAACTACGCGCGTCTGCCTTTCTGGCCCCCCCCTCTCTCTCTCTCTCTCTTTTTCTCTCTCTCACTCTCACTCACTCACTCACTCACTCTCTCAAAGCTGTTTTACTCTCGGCCGTACTCAGGCCCTTGTTAAGCTTCGTAGTAAAATAAGTTAAGGGGCCAACTCTCATTGAACCTTGATAGCTTTGGCTATACTTATTTAGTTAATCTTAGTTTTAGTTTTATTCTTAGTCTTTTAAGTTCAAGTCCAAAGTGCGGATTTTATTTGTTCACTCCCAGGCGGAGTTTTGTTAAATCTTATCGAATTGATAAAGGGTTATGTTGTTTCCTGTCTTCGAACTCTAGCGATTATTCGCTTATCAGTTCCTAGGTTCCTCACTTCCAACATTAACTTAGAATTTCAAGTGAGGGACCTTACAACCTAATATCGATTTAGACATTACAAACCCATACGCACGCAATAGTATATTCACAATACTTCTAGTCTAGTGGTTATAGACAGAAATATTTGAAGAGAAAGGGTTTTGTTGCTGTTAAAAGTTTTTACAATTGGTACTTCGCAAAAGAAGAATGCAATGCCAAACGTTAATCGATTACTTACAAATTTTCATTTCAGTGTTCGATGCCTCAGCTAAAATGCCTTCTGGGATGTTCGATGGAACCGTGACAGAATTCGGTTCATTTGACCAATGCCTTAAAATTTTGGTAAAAAACAAGAAAGGAGGTGAAGCTTTCCGCGGGCAGTACTGCTCAGTTGAAGCGGTTCCAAGTCTCGGCCCAAGACCACGAAATTTATCTCTCGCCGTGCGACCCAATGTGAAGTTTGATGATTCAGTAAGTTTTTATTAATCTATTCATCATGCATTTTTATATATTGTATATGCTACCTAATTCACACCATTGGGAAGAGAAGTGCCGCATGCTAAAATAAAACTTATAAGCAAAGTAAAAAATTAAATTTACGGTAAATAGTAAGAGAAAAATAATCAAAACATTTAAAAACAAGAAAAAGAATATTAATACCCATAATGGCGTGTCATCAGTCGGCTAGGGGAACTGAACTAGCCCCCTAATATTTTAACTAATAACACTTCCACATGTATTTTTACCTCAGACTCAAAAACAAATGGTTTAGTTCCATAATATAGCCATGTTTCGCTTCGTAATAGAAATTTCAAGCCAATCAGTTTTGGCTTAAATACATGTTATTCATTGTTTTCCCATACGATTTTAGTATTATAGTTTCTGCATATTGACAATGTGGTGTCCGCCGAAAACATCGCGGACGAAAACGTCGTGGAGAAACCAACGCTATGCGAAAACGTCGTAGTAGAAAACATTGTGGGGAAAAGAAAGCAAAGAGAAAACAACGATGTTTTTAAGCTGTGAAGTTTTTAAACCACTTTATTTTCGACAACGATCTTTTGGAACCGCGATGTTTTCTCTTTGCTTTTGTTTTTCTTTCACGATGTTTTGTACCAAGATGTTTTCGTCTTGCGTTGTTTTCTCCGCGATGTTTTCGGCTGTAACTTTGTAGAGACATTAGGCATTTTTGTAAGCAAGAAAGATGAAAAATTAGAAACGCCTTCGCCGGGAATCGAACCGCGGAACTCTGAAATACGCTCACAGTGTGCATACCACCACACCACGAAGGCATGCAAAGAAGCCGGGGGAAATACCTTATATACTTCCCCTCTTAAAGGGCGACTGGGGTTTTAGGGGACCCAATCGCCAAATCTGGGTGTGGAGAATCATCATCCAACACCCTTTTTAGTTCGGGCGCCACTGTAGAGACATTAGGTATTTTTGGAAGCAGTAAAAAGGAAAAATTAGCAACGCCTTGGCCGGGGATCGAACCACGGACCTCTGCAATACGCGCACAGTATGCATACCACCACACCACGAAGGCATACCAAGAAGGCGGGAGAAATACCTTATAACTGACAATATGCCTGCAATGGCCAGGCATTACAAGAGCCTTTAGGTATTCTCGCTTGATGAGATCAAATTTCGTTTAGTAATAATCTGGTATGATTTAATTTAGCTCATTTACCTGACTATTTTTTCATTGTTGTTATTTATATAGAGCTGTCTTGATCTGCTGAAATTAATTCCTAACTTGACAATATGACCAAAACTATATCAGATGTGGTTTCTTCCTCATCTGATATTCCAACTGAATAACAATTAGTGTGATTCATCTGTTTTCTTAAGCCTCGATTGTGCATTCAACTGTAAACAGAAATTCTTGTATTTTTGGGTCGGAAATATTTGACATCCGCATTAACAGGGATTAGCATTAAATCTGTATCATTTTTACTTCAAGATCTCTCTCTATCTTGTTGCGTAAAAACATGAGCGAAGCGTCAAATTATTTTTTAAGTTTGGGTATAAACCTTGAAACACAGATATGCTCTGTTAATTCGGAAAATTCTTAAGATTTCCTCAGACTTTCCGAAAAATGCAAAATTACTTCTAAATTTTCATGTCTATAAATTTAAATTTAATGATGGGAATGCTGCAATGGTACGTAATAAAATGAAATTCTTGATCCTTTTGATATTAGATTTCAAAGTTTTAGTCATGAGCAAGATAATTTGTGAATTATCATGATCAATGGGTTTATAGCCATTTGTTTAATTTTTTTTAACTGTGTAGTTCTAATTGTCTTTTCATTTGCTAGGCATGCTAATTACATCCGCAAGGAAAACAATTAAATATATTTCATTCTTTATATGTGTAGTATTTTTATTGTAATACTAGAAACACTTGCTGAACAGAGTACTCCTAAATAAAATTCATTTTAACATGGAAAAAGCACTGTTGAAAGGGATATTTGAAACATAAGGATTGGATTGGTTTAGGTTTATTTAATTATGGCAAAGCACACTAGGGCTATCTGCCTAACGGGAGGGATGCCTTCGGGGAGGACTTTCTAAGGGGAACTGGCTCGTATACACGTTACACATGGGGAAAACCACGAAAACGCCCATGCAGCCAGCCCGTTCGCGGAGTCCGAACCTCGGACCGAACTACCACTGTTCAGCGACTTTACCGCTCGGCCGCTGATAGGATAGGATTGGATTATTCAATTATGGCGAAGCACACAAAGGCTATCTGCCTAAAGGTAGGGATGCCTTCGTGGAGGACTTTCTAAGGGAAACTGGCTCGTATACACTTTTACACATGGGGAAAGCCACGAAAACGCCCATGCAGCCAACCCATTCGCGGGATTCGAACCTCGGACCGAACTACCAGTGTTTAGCGTCTTTACCGTTCGGCCACTGGTGAGCCCTGAAGCATAAGGAAGAGAAGCTGTTAAGATATATTGATTGAAATGCTATCGAAAGATACCAACATAAATGTCCAAAGTTCTAAATTTGATCCTGAAAAGCAAACAAAATAAAATAAACAATTAAAAAAAAATTCTGAAAGCTTCCCAATTTTATATTACGCCCAAATGGACGTTTTTCTAATGTTCTGTGTGTACCTTTATTTATTAAATATTGTAGAATTCAATTCAACAGCAATATCGCAAAATATTTAAAAGAGCATATCTTTAGAATTTCAGATACACAGTCTCGCGTCCTGGAGATAAAAATGCTTTTTTTTTTTCGGTACAGTGTTTCCACTGTTCGCTTTGAAATCGCTCATTTCTTAATCAAAAACACATAAATGCTTTACAAAATATGAAATAGCTAATAAAACAAATTCCAAATTGGGGTTTCCTGATGCCCATATTCGAGTGGAGACGTACGTTTTTCAAAATTTGATAGCTCTAGGTACTGTTGTTTTATCACAATGGGAGAAACATGCATATATTTATGCAAATTCTTCATTATTTAATTTCTTTAAATATAATACGGGGCTCTAATATTTGGTGGCTACAATGTGAAAAGTGATTCGGCTTTTACAGTGAATCGGCGCAAAATGCCAAAAAGAAATTAACAGCCCTTCTGGGCAAATTGCCCCTTTGGGCTAAAAGATCAAGATAGTAATAAAAAAATAACATAATCTAATCCTAAATTAATACTTTTAATCAACATTCGTAGAAAAAAATCTGGCATTCCCGAAATTAAAATTAGCGAAAATTCGCTGTGTGATAAAATTGCTGTTTTAGTCTCATACCACATGCTATAATTATTGGATCAAAAATACCGATTTAAATCTCTAAATACATTTTAAAACAATTTTAAGACGATGATATCAATATATTAAAAAATTTACTAATAAAGAAAAGTAATTTCCATGTTTCGTATTTTTACCTTAACTTTAAAATTTGTCAAAAATTTCATAATGCGGATTTCTGTTATTTTCGCTTATAATTGAAAAATCGAAAAATAAAGATTTTGTTGTTTAGCAGCATGTAAAGGATTACTCCCTTTCAAAATACGTAACGTAATGTAATTAGAAAAATCTTTTATTGAATATGACAGTAATGCGAATTATCATAGAAGTTATTACCTAAAAAATAATTTCGAAATTATATCAATCAGTCAAACATTAACAAATGACATCAATGAAATTTTGCCCGCCGGTGGCCGAACGGTAAAGGGTCGCTGAACCCTGGTAGTTCGAAACGAGGTTCGAAACAAACGAGTGGGCTGGCTGCATGGACGTTTTCGTGGATTTTCCACATGTGTAACGTGTATACGAGCCAGTTTTCCTTAGAAAGACCTCCACGAAAGCATCTCTCCCCTTAGCTTTGCCGTAAATCAAACCGATGAAATTTGTTATTAAAAATACATAAATATATATATATTAGTAACAAGTACGGTTACTGGTTTAAAATTTCTTTAACACTGAGAAATTTTATAAACCTTTGCACCATTATTATAACTAATATTTGTTTTATAAAAGTCATAATTTTACTGACTCACATACTCACTCAGAAGTACATTATTTATTATTAAATATTTCTCAGTTGTAAATTTGATTACTGCATAATAAACAATTTTCTTTTGTTATTTTTAATGTTACATTTATTATTTTGGGTATCAACCAGTTGCCAAGGGGTTAAGACAACCGAAAGCTGGTAATTCGACCTGGATTTGAATACAGGCGAACGCGCTAGACGCGTGGTTGGTTTTCGTAGTTTTCTCCTTGTGTAATGTTAACACAAGCCACTTTCTCTCAGAGAGTCCTCCAAGAAGGCAACTTTTTAGACGTAGAGCCCTCATGCGCTTTGCCATATTCAAATAACCTAACATTTATTAATTTAAATTTTATATTACTTTGTAAAGTTTGTACAGAATTTTCTAATGTTCCTTTTCTAGAAAGTCCTCCTCGAAGGCATTCCTCGCTTTTAGCAAACAGCCCTATCGTATTTTACCGAATTCACTTAGCCTAGCTTAACTTAATATGATGCCACTTTTTAATGCTGTTTTTATTCATTTTGATACTATTATAGCATTTAAAATTTATTTTTAGGGTTGTTATTTTTATGATTCTAGATGTTATTTTGTTTCTAATGTTATTTTCATTATTCGAAACAATAGTATAAAGTTTTTGATTGTTTTATTACTATAAATAGTAGTCTTGTATTATTTTTCATATTTCATTTCCTTCTAAATAATTTTCATTTGTTACATTTAAGATGAAAATTGTTGCTGTAAAAGTATTTTTGTTTTATTAATAAAATTACATTAAAAAAACTTTATGTTACTTTAATCCTGTTTTTTTAACTTTAATATGCTTCTTCTCATGTTGTTTTTATCATTTTAAATACAATCACTCCTGTATCATTTTTAAAAACTATCATTACTACTTCGAATAACCTTCATATGCGTATCATATATTTCGGCGTATAACGCGCAGTTTAAATACAAAAAATGATATCAAAATTTACGGGTGCGCGTCATATACGCGATAGTTTAAAAATAATAAAAGGTTTAAAAATAAATGATAGGTTTAAAAATAAAAAAGATTTAAAAATAAATGATAGGTTTAAATAAGAAAAAATGAGCATTAAAAAAAATTGCTTTCTACATGTACCTAAATTATGTTATTAGCGATTCTGGTGATTTTCTAGGACCGATTTGGCAACACTTTGTTTTAGGGTAGGCCCATTACCGTTTTCCGCAAATCATATTCATTATTTGGCGTATTAATTATTGTGATATGTTTTTTTCTTTCACTCACGAAAGGAACTTTTACCGGTATCAAACATTCTTGCTGAAGCATGATTTTCATTTCCTTTCACAAACTGAATGACTTTGCATTTGAAAACAGCACTATGTTTCGTTTGGCAGAAGCCATATTTACTAGATCAAAGGAATACTATTTAGGTTGTATAGAAACGAATGACACAAATGCTGCCACAATCAGTACAATTTATTAACAAAACACTGATAATACATCAGTTAGAAATAATCCCCGCCCGTGTCAATACACTTCTGCCATTTGGCTGGGAGCTCCAGAAGGGCTTTGGTAAACCAGTCTGTAGGGGTGTTGGTGACCATCTATGAACAATTGCCTGCAATTCGGCAGAAGATTCGACAATATTGGCCCCTGACGTCATCCTTCATGTTGTCAAGTAAAGCGTAGTCCGAGGTTTGGGTTCGAGGTCCGAGGCCCATCTAATTTGCACACACATTTGTTATCTACAAATCACCATGCACAATCGCTTGCAATGTTCCTTGCGCAAGCCGTCTCTTCCTGCATATTGTTGAACGTTGTGTGCTTATTCGCCATGATCAAATCCGACACAGCTGCAACATTTGCTGCTGTACGCGACGTTGCTGGTCGTCCCGCGCTGACACCTTTGGCTGCGGTCTCCACTTTACCGCTGAATTTGGCCAACTAAACGGGATACGGTACGCCTTGAGGGTGCGACGATGGATCTCACTAACCTGTATCACTTCCTTCCATAGGAACCATGCTGTCCAACGCTAACCGCGATAATTACCCTCCATCTTTGCTGCCCACGCTCTCAATGACGACGGCGAAAGAGACGGGCGCTGACTTATACTGTTCGGCTTGCGGCCAGCTCCATCTATGCATTCTGAGTAGCTCATGCCCCCTTGTGTCTATTTCACTTGTTTTTCCTTTGCATAGTATAATAGTTTCGTTGTGACAGCCGTTGTGTCAATCATTTATGTACGTTCCAAGTAGATCAACTGCATTTCAGGTAAAGCAAATGCAATTTACAAAAGCCTTCGATGTTCACTTCAAAATCACGGCTTCAAATGACTGGCGAAAGAGAAAACTTCCAACTCCTTATTCTCGAAATCTTAGAATAACATTCTTGTGCGCAGCTGCATTGAATACAACCAACCCTTTTTGCATTTTTACTCCCTCAAGCACTTTCCTCACAGTATACCATTGTTCGGAAGCCTACGAAAAATCTTCTATTGAAGGATTTCAAAAGATAACAGCATCACACATGCATCTTTCAGGCTCCTTCATGAAGAAAAGGTGGGAGTTATACAGCAAATACACCTAAAAATTAAAAATATAGTTTGAAACTACAGTTGCGCTTTATACCCCGGAATATATGGTACTTATAATAAATACCGTTATTTCCCGTTTTTGCATTTGTAATGAACCGAAATTCTTAGCCAGATTGAGGCAAATTTTTAAGAAATATTCGCATACGCATCCTTTACAAGGGTATTTCGAATACAATTTAATTATTGTTTCTTCTTTTCAGATAATAAAAGAAATGCATACCACTATCTTTGCCTTCTACCAGTTGTCGTTTAGGTTTGGCATATGTGTTCCTTCTACTTGTAGCGTGGAGGATATGAGAGCACTTGCAGCGCAAGGTGAGAAACACCAATTTCTACTTTATGTAGATGTTAACAGGAAAGATGGTCACAACTTTAAAGGGTGATAAAGCATTGTAAAAGTAACCATTTTCTAACACAGTGTGTATTGGAATGTGAAATGTGAACGAGGGAATTCGGTAAGAACATCGAGAACATAAAGTCGCTTTAATCACGGATATTTATAAAAAATAACTTTTGACATTTTCAAGAATTGGTCAAGTAAACGTCCACCAATTGCAATACGTGCATCGTAATGACGATGAAGAGGTTAGCATTAACTTTGAAGGATACTCGGAATGTCACATACTTCTGTAACAACAATGCAGTTCTGGAGATAAGTCTTCTACGTCTTGTAAACAAGATCCGTCCTTATTCTGGTGTATGTATTTTAACTGCTAGTTATTCATTTGAACAAGTCTTACTTACAGACATCAAGCACTATTTTTTATGAACCTCTGTTATTAAAAAAGACTTTCTTTGACCAATGAGCCTATTCTTCACCAATGGACCTTTGCTGCAAAGAATGATCTCTTGAAATTACAATAAATTCAAAACCGTTTCCTTCGCATTATTACTAATGCGCATAATTATGTCATAAATGTCACACTTCAGGAAGATTTCAGACTTAGCACCATTGAGACTTATCTCAACAAGACAAATGCAGAATTTGGAATGCTTGAATGTCAATATTTTAATTCATTTAATCTCTTGAACTATAAAATACTATGAAGACGTCTAACTTACTAAGATCAGTTACCGCACACCACAAAAAGACATCTTCCTATCATTTAGTCATTTTCCTCATTTTCCTTCAATTCTGTTTTTGCATTTATTTTGTCTTTCATTGTACTTTTTTTGCATTGTATTCTTTTACATTATGAGAAGATTTTCTTACTTTAAACAGCTTGCCAGTAATATTTTACGACACTTATTGACTTTCTTTTTCATGCACTCCAGTCCTTTCCTTATTTGCAATGTCATGTCATTTTATGATCTTCTTCCCCCCCCTTTTGCCTCCATTCACTACTACTCCCTTCCAAGCCCTACTTATTATGACTGTATTTATGTTATGTGGCTTTATGGCAATATGTATCATTGATTCGGAGACGTCGCGCTCTGCGTGATATTCGCGGAATATTAAGGTTCAATTCGATTGGAAGAAGCCTATTAATCATTAATCGCCTATTGGCTTTTTGTTTTAGTATTGTACTGTGTACCAAAAAAAATTTAAAAATACAAAATAATAATAATAATAAATTCTAAAACGCTTAAGATTTTAAATTATGCCAAAAGGGCCGTTTTTTAAATATTTTCTGAATTGAGCATATCTGTAGAATTTCCGGTACACAGTCTCAGGCGCTGGAGATAAAAATGTTTTTTCTGTATAACGCTGCCATTGCTGGCTTTGAAATCCTTGAGTTTGTTAATCAAAAACTCGTTAAAGTTTCACAAAATATGAAATGGATGATAAAAAAATTCCAAATTTCAAATTTTGGCTTCTAGATGCCCATATTCGCGGTAGGATTACGTCATTCAAAATTGGATGGCACTAGGTACCGTTGTTTTATCACAATGCGAGAAGCATACACACATTTATGCAGATTCTTCATTATTTAATTTCTTTAAGTATAATACAGCGCGATAATATTTGGTAGTAGCAACTTGAAAAGTGATTCGACGCAAAATGGCGATAATATTTGATAGTAGCAACTTGAAAAGTCTCCGACGCAAAATGGCGATAATATTTGATGTTAAGTGATTCTGGCGAAATAGTAGCACTTGAAAATTCGTCGCAAAAATGGCGATAATATTTGGTAGTAGCAACTTGAAAAGTGATTCGACGCAAAATGGCGATAATATTTGGTAGTAGCAACTTGAAAAGTGATTCGTCGCAAAATGGCGATAATATTTGGTAGTAGCAACTTGAAAAGTGATTCGACGCAAAATGGCGATAATATTTGGTAGTAGCAACTTGAAAAGTGATCCGACGCAAAATGGCGATAATATTTGGTAGTAGCAACTTGAAAAGTGATTCGACGCAAGATGGCGATAATATTTGGTAGTAGCAACTTGAAAAGTGATTCGACGCAAAATGGCGCTAATATTTGGTAGTAGCAACTTGAAAAGTGATTCGACGCAAAATGGCGATAATATTTGGTAGTAGCAACTTGAAAAGTGATTCGACGCAAGATGGCGATAATATTTGGTAGTAGCAACTTGAAAAGTGATTCGACGCAAGATGACGATAATATTTGGTGGTAACCAGCTTGAAAAGTGAAACGGACATTCAGAGTGATTCGACACAAAATCGCAAATCGAAAACAATAGTCCCAAAGCCACTTTGGACTAATAAAATTAAAATACAATAAAAAATTACAAAATACAAAAAAAAAAAAAAAAAAAAAAAAAATATTAAAACCTGCAAAAACAAAAACAAAAAAATCCAAACTTATGTTTTCAACAATTTTTCCTATACCTATTCTTTAGTGAGCCATATGGTTCCCTCCAGCTTTTCAACTATTTTTTATGTAATTTTTCCTACTGCTTCTCTCTATCTAGTATATTCTGATGTGGGGGGGTAAATGGTTTTGAACCATAGTTACTCCGTAAAACATAATTCTTGGGTCTTTAGTTGATTTTTGTTGTTGCTGTATTTAATCTTTCATATTCCACCACACACTGGTATTGAAAAAAATATTACCATTGTCATGTTCTATTGGCCCTTCATTGCTGTGACTATCAATTCTGTTACAACACGTATACTTTTAATCGGAGTTAGTTTGTCCTTTTTATTATGTTTGTAATTAATATATAATTATACTACTAATTGCTATATTCAAATGTCTAACGTTACGCTTCAAATAACATTTAAAAATGAATCAAATTTATTTTGAATTTCTGAAGAAATATCTTTCTCTAAACGACAAGTAATTTAGACAGAAAGGGAAAAAATTGCTTACATAAAGACTTGCTATCGTGAATTCATCATACCTGTCCGCATTTTCTTTTTCTTTTAATAATTCTTGTTCTTCATTGTAACTCTTTCAGGAAATAATCGGTTTTACATAATAAGTTACTTCCTTGTATGCATAATAAATATGTTCTTCTTCTGCCTCACTTCTTGATATTTTTCTCAAATAAATTCCAGTGTATTTCTTTAAACAAATTAAACCTATGTTGTGTCATATCAAACAAAATGATAAATATTTTCACCACTTGAGACAGTTAATGCATTGACTACTTGTAGTTTCCTATTTGTAATGTTCAATTGTTTTTTAAAATACACTTGCTCCATAAAATTCTCCGTTTTATTCCCTAAAAAAGTTAAATAAAAATAGTTTATGAAGAAACTGCTGTGATAATTAGAAGAAAATTACTGGAATCAAATTTCTTCAGATGTAAAGAATAAAAGATAAATTATAGTAGTTTGATATTCTAAAATAAGTCGTTCTATATTACTCAATTTTCAGTGTTTTCCTTATTATTTAATCAAAACATCATAGATTAATATATTAGAATTACTTTGCATATTTCAACATTATTTAAATTCATAAATAATAGTACTTTGTGTACCACAATTTAAACTTTTACATGAAATTTAATACATAAATAAAATTTTAAAAGTGTTTTAAATTTATTTAAAATTTTAATAAATAAATTAATTAAAAAACTAAATTTATTTAAGTATTAAAATAAACTTTTACGTGAAATTTAATAAATAATACGATAAATCTTTACTTTTTTCAATAGTACCGTAAAAATTATAGTACTACACAATAATAAATGAAATTATTTAAAAAATTCTATAAAAATTCTTAAAATTTTTGTGTAGTGTATTTGCGTAATTTTCGTCTCAAAACTTGAATATTTCGTCAATTTTAATGATAATAACATTTTAAATGCCTAACACTAAATTATGTAGATATTTTTGTAAATTTTTATCTGACAACTGTTTTGCACAGAAAGATGTTTAATAATCATGTAAAATTTAAAATATCTTTTTTTTTTTAACAATACCTCGAAGGAAAGCCCTACAATAGATCGATGGTTATGATCGCTGTATACTGGTAGTTTGACTCGGTTTCGAAATGCAGGCGAACGAACTGGTTGCATGGTTGGGTTACGAGGTTTTTCCCATGTGTAACATGAATACTAGCTAGTTACTCTTAAGAAAGCTCTCTACGAAAGTATCTATCTCCTTAAGTAGATTCCCTCATCTGCTTTGCCATGATCAAATAACAGACCTTCTTATTCACCTAACCTTGAAGAACATTTCTTTGAAATATTTTCTGTCTTGGCAAAATAGAAGATATTTTCATGTGAGCGACATATTTATCTCAAGCCTCGTGCGCAAAAGATCTACTGAAATAAATATGCATCTAAATTTTTTAATTTTTCCTTTTCTTTGCTAAGTCTTTTCTTTCTACACCCTTGTACAAAGTAAAGGAAGTATTGTAATCGCGAAAAATTTCGGATAACACATTTCAACGAAAATATCCATGTTTGCTGTCAAATTCATTTGAACGGTGTTTTAGCGTGACATCTATATGTGCGGACAGAATAAAACACTCTCTTTTCCAAAACGGATTCTCGTTTAGTGGATTTAAAATGGATTCCTAAAAGGGTTTTTTTTTTTTTTTTTTTTTTTTTTTTTTTTTTTTTTTTTTTTTTCATGACGTCCATACATGCATTTATATGTTATCAAAATTACGTATACATCAAAATCATATATTTACTGTAATATTATAAAATTTTAAATAAACATGGTCCCACTGAGCGAGCAATAAAGCTGAAAATCTGCATACCGGCACAGCTGCTCAGCCAGTGGTCTCCTGTCTCCTATACATACGTTTATATGTATCTCGCATGACGCAAATACGAGTAGGCTTGGACATGGGACTACGAACATGGGAACCTGGAAACCGTGAAATTTGAATTTCGAAATTGTTTTATCATCTATTTCATGTTTCGTGAAACTTTAACGAATTTTTCATTAACAAACTCAACGATTTCAAAGCGAGCAGTGGCAACACTATGCCGGAATAAAACGTTTTTATACCGAACTCGCGAGATGGTCTGTCGGACCTTTTAAAGATATGCTGTTTTTAAACATTTTGGGACTTTGCTGTTGAATCGAATTTTACGTGGCGTAAGCGAAGAACGTGGTATTTAATAGATACAGTAAACGTGCAAAACGTCAATAATAAAAAGGCCACAAAAATAAACTTTTTTAAAGTCATCTTAGCAAGGAAACTTAACATCGGTATGATGAACTGAGAGAAGACTGAAAAAAGGAAAGTATATGTCGACACTGAAATTCTCAACGTATACTACTATGCTGCTTTTAAAATTTTAGTAATTTTCCTGTTGTGTTGCATATGGCATAAGTGTATAAAAAATGGTACTTAGTAATAAAGGTAAAAAGACAAAAAAAAATGGCTTAGCAGGAGCGAGAGTAATAGCAGAGTGGCAGGCTGCGACCTCATCGAGAGCGTAAAAACCTTAACAAAGCCTTTTGGTCGACCGTTAAAATCTGAAAACTTTCAGAATTTTTCTCTTTTCTTTTTTTCTCTAATATATTTTTTAGGTACAGGTGTCCTTATGCAGATATATGTTGTTTAAAATTGTTTAAGCAAATATTAATCCATAAACAAAGAAAGTTTAAACCCTTTTAGTTGCTCTCATAGTTTTGGAAAATATAATAAAGAAAAGTATTCTTTCAATAAAATTAAGAGGATAAGCAACTTTTAAACAAAATCGAGTCTAACACTTACTGTTTTTACTTAATTTCAGTTGTGAAGCCTTCTAACTATGGTATCCGAGTGTCAAGGTGTCATGTCTCTGAACCAATCACTGTGGACACCATTCACGTCGTAGTGTTGTAAGTACTATTTTTGTCATTAAGTATCCCATACTTCTTTCAAGGAATTAGAAATATAAAAAAACTGAGCAAAATGTTACTCAAATTTCAACGTTTCTAGTCCTTTATATGTTGGCTTAGATTTTTCAAGTCTTTCGTTGGATTTAGCTTTACTGAAGAACTTCTTCTATCTATTTTTATTAAAATTTGTAATACTGTGAAATAGTGCTGATTAAAAAAAAAGGGCTCTAAACGTATTATCCATTGACTATCAAGCCGAACTGAAGGCAAAATAAATTAACTTCTTTAGTTGAAAAAGAAATAATAAATTCGAATATAAAGTTGCTTGAGAAATGTGTTTGTTAGCAACTTCCCATACTTCGTTAAACAGCACCGTAAAATACCAATTTTCTTTTTCTCAAATGAAACATTAGAACAATATTATATTCGTACTTAGAACAAATGAAATTATAAATATCCTAACGTTATGTTTACTAATTATTGTATAATTTATTTTGGTTTTTATTGCTATCTGGCCCCTTTGAATTTCCCAGATTAATTTCTGACATACTTTTGTGACAGTTTATTTCCATCATGTATAACTTGAGATAACTATAATGGCTAATTATTATAAACTTGATTACGTACTTATATATGTTATTTCGCGATATGCTATTTGAGTCATGGTAGATTTTACATCTCAGCCTCCCAGCCGGTGTAGTGGTTAGTGATCCTGCTTGCCGATGGGAATCCCGGAGAAGGCATGGTTGGAACTTTTTTTTTTTTTTTTAACACTGCTAAGGAGGACTAATGACCGGAAACTAGCCCTTGCAGTATGATGTCCGCCCTGCAGAAGCCATAACGGCATTTATTAAGTAAATTTTAAAAAAAAGAAAAGGATTACAGAGTCACATGTAGATAGGGAATACAAAGGACTACCTTGAATACATATTACATTCTTGATTGCATAGATTAAAAAAAAATACTTAGAAGTACAAAGTTGCATTGATACAAAATTGGTAAGGGTAAAACAAAAACAGTAAAATTCAAGACTAACAATGGAATTTCAAGCCTGCAGTTGTACATCACACTGACTTACTATTATACAATTATACACTTCTAAAATTCCGCACATTACTAAAAAAACATATTATGCAATGCATTATTAGAATACTGAAAAACATACTGACATTGTAAAGCTGATACTACAAATAAAACACACCATATACACTGCTGGTATCATAAAAGTAGGCAATTCTGTAAATGAAGTTGTACTGTAACGCTAAATCAAAAAAACACCAAACAATAACCTTTGAAAACAGTGGCAGTGATAATTAGGAAGATAATATATTGTAGCAGAGTTAGAATACTGAATCAATTCAAAACATTAAATCCAGCAAAACATTTCAATACATATTTACAAATTTCTACAACCAAGAAAGTCTGGTTCAATACTACTATTATACATCACACTTACTTATCATTATACAACACTAAACTATTATACTCCAAATTAGTAGAAAATAAATTATACAACATACTTAATGGAATACTGTACATACACCGAAATGAAATGGCGAATACTACAAAATAACAATCAATATACAATGTGCTTATCAGAAAGTTGGTTCTGCGGCTACGAATATTTGTTAGAGAGCATGGTTGTAACAGTACTTCCTCTTCACAGGAAGCAACTGTGGCCATTTTTTAGGTGCTTTTAGAATGAAATGGCCACCACTTCCGACCCTTGCAGTGGCGCAAGGCTAATGGTTATTAAATAATGCGCCCGGACATTAAAAAACATTTTAAAAATATGATTGCGTATGGTTGGTAGGTTAATGATTATGGCAAATCACTCTAGGATAATCTGTAAAAAAAAGCGATGCTTTGGTCGAGGACTTTCTAAATAGATGGAGCAACCTGTAAGAAAAGCCACGAAAGCCCTCTAGAGCCATACCATTCGTTGGAAAGCTAAACTCGGAAGAGATTACCAGCTTTTAATTGTCATATCCTCTCAGCCGCTGATAGGTTGATAGTAATTTATTGTGTGTATCTTGGATTAGGGTGTCATGATCAAATAATTTATATACAATAATAGGAGACCCGGTGGCGCAGTGGCTAGCATCACAGGCCAGTCCGGGTTCGATCCCCAGGCTGGGCAAGGCTGGCTCAGATTTTCATCCCTGGAGTGGGTCGTTAAAATCAGTATCAAGTTCGCTTGGAACAAGCTGACCCCTTGTCCAGGCTAAGATGCACAAACACTCTGAAGAGAGCAGATATCAGAGCACTGCCGGCCATGGCTCTTTAAAGACTGTTTGTACTGCCGAGTTTAGTTTAGTTTATATACAATAATCATCATTACACACTTATGAGTAAAACTTATCAATGTTTTCTGAACAAAGATCATGCTATCCCATTTTCTTGTCCTACTACAGTTGTGGCATCATTAAGCCTTTTAACTGGATTTGGATGCCTCAACGCTAATATGTTTTGTATTAAATTCAGAAACCCTCTATTGGAATAATCCATGAACATTGAACATTTAAAAGTGTGCTCTTTGAGTTAACTCTATACCCCAGAAACATTAGAAGGCAAGGTGTCTAATGGCTTAAGTGCCCAAAGCCAGACATATATAAATAAATAATTATCAAGTTTTCAGATCGAAGTCAAAAGCAAAATGCTGAATATGTAGCTGTTAGTTTGTAGACTACGTTTTGTGTTGGTAAAAAGGATTTAAAACGTAATGTTCAAGTTTTAATTTTCTTTCTTTATTTTTAGAATTATTCCTTAAATTCCTATGCTCAATAGGCCTAATTTTTCCAATTCCATTTAATCCTGTTTCCTTTTATGTAGAAAAATTACGCAGTAGTATTTATTTTGTAGGAGAGTATTTATGTGCTGTTTGATTTGTATGTTATGGCACGGCAGGTGCTACGGATTTCTCATCCTGGTGAAGATCCTAAATTCTGCTATTCTCTGCTTTCCAAAATATTAGAATTTTTGCCTCCTTCAAATAACACTCTAACTTTTCCTGCTATGCAACCCTTTCGTCTCTAACGTTTCCTGCTATGCAACTCTTTCGCCTTTAACTTTTCCTGCTAGGTACTTCTTTAAATTTTAAAAGTTTTGCCTCCTCCAAATTTCATAAATGTTACTGTCTCTAACTTTTCTTGCTAGTATGTGGGCACCTTGATGCCGAAGCATTCTCATAAAGGCCTCTTCTATTCGAATAGCGGCCGATTTGGGTAAAGGTAACTTTCCGATGGGGAACAGCTATAAAGTTGTCCCAATTGAAGCGTAATTAGCGAAAAAATGAGGTTTTTAAAATATCATTCAGCGTTATAAGTTTCCTCGTGTATCGAAATAGTTCTGTTGTTGTAAGCGTCAAGGTCAATTTCCGTTGTAGTAAAAAATGTTCATATTCATTCATTGCCAAGGAATCTATTAGTTCCAGTAAAGAACATACGATAATCCAGACCAGTGAGTATGTAGGGTGAATATGATTGTCAAATCTGTAGCGATTAAGGAAAACACACAACGAAAATTTGTAATTAAAATGTATTCTGTTTAATTTAAACATTTATTCTTATTGTACTATATGTTATCTTTCCTCATTATGTTGCAACAATGTCCAAGTCATTGTTCACTAAGGTTTATAATCTATGTTTGCTTCAGAGAAAATTTCGAAACTCGATTAAAGGTAATTACGTTCTTAGAATTTTACAAAGTTATAACAACACACATTTGAAATCATTAGTTGTTTACTTTCCTTGTAGTAAGAAAAATGAAAATGAAAAGGGTATAAGCTCGTAGCTAAGTGAGATGCATATAATTGCGTCATCGAATATATAATATACGGAGTTAGAAAGGTCTTTTATCAAATAAATGGTTGATAGTAATACTTAAAAAATTCATTATTATAATTTAAATGAGATTTATTTAATTTACTTAACAGTTATATTATGTTTAAGCATAATATAACTTTATGCTTATATATGATGTTTAAGCATAATATAGCTTTGTGCTTATATATTATGTTTAAGCATAATATAGCTTTGTGCTTATATAATATGTTTAAGCATAATATAACTTTATGCTTATATATTATGTTTAAGCATAATATAACTTTGTGCTTATATATTATGTTTAAGCATAATATAGCTTTGTGCTTATATATTATGTTTAAGCATAATATAGCTTTGTGCTTATATAATATGTTTAAGCATAATATAACTTATGCTTATATATGTTTAAGCATAATATAGCTTTTGCTATTATTATGTTAATATATAGCTTGTGCTTATATAATATGTTTTAGCATATATATAACTTATGCTTATATATTATGTTTAAGCTAATATAACTTTCTGCTTATTATTATTGTTTAAGCATAATATAGCTTTGGCTTTATAATATTTTTAAATATAACTTAGCTTATATATTATGTTTAAGCATAATATAGCTTTGTGCTTATATAATATGTTTAAGCATAATATAACTTTGTGCTTATATATTATGTTTAAGCATAATATAGCTTTCATATCGCTCTTGCTCTCAACTCACGCTTTCTTGACAGAATGCAAATCGACTAGCGCCCGTGTTTACAAATGAGGTAGAAAGATGTTAGTATTTAAGGGAAGATTTAGGAAGGGGAAATCAGAGCGTGTTTTCCCTGACTGAAGGCCACGTTTCTGTCTTTGATTTTTTAGCTAGTAGATTTCTGTGGTGTTGAGCTGTTCTTACCATTAGGCTTGTTTACGCCGATTTTTCGAGTCAGAGCCAGCTTGCGCGATAGTAACCTGTGAAGCCAATAGGTTAAACTTAACTTCATTTAATTTTACGTTATTCAGTACCATTTGAGGTGAGCTTAAAGTGCTGGCTTTTGTAAGTACGCGTTGGTCCCGCCGTCTGTGAAACCCGCTTAAGTTAATACAGGATTCTTTACATCCGTCTCCGGAATTTGTCGTACTTTAAGACTTAGTGATTATTCACTAAACAGTCTTCTAACGCTGAGCTGAGTT